TTGTACACTGTTGGTGAGAACGTAAATTGGTGCAGCCATTGTGGAAAACAGTATGGAGGGTCCTCAAAAACTTAAAAATAAAACCTAGTCATACCTAGTCAGAATGCTGCACAAATGGAGAGTTTACACTGTTTGCAAACAGAAAGTGACATCTCAATAATATTGGGACAAGTCAATCAGGGTTACTGTGCTCCAGATCAGTCTTATCCTGACAAAGATGGAAAAAAATCATTATTTTAGGAGAAGAGTTGGGGGGTAGGGGATGAATTAACTATTCTCTTAGCTAAGTTACTTATGCTTCAGCAATCTCACTTCTGGGTATCTAACCAAAGGAACTGAAATCAGGATCTCAAAGAGGTTATCTTCACTCTCATGTTAACTGCAGCATTCTTCACAAAGCCAGGACACGGAGGCAACCTAAATGCCCACTGACAGATGAAGAAAATGTAGCATATACATACAGTGGAATACTATTCAGCCTCTAAAAAGACTGGCATACTGAGACACTGCTTACATCAACTTCACTAACATTCCATTAGCCAAAGCAAAATGACTTTGCCAAGCTCAAAATCAAAGGACAGGGAAGTATACTCCATTCACCAAGAAGCCATGGCAAGAGAATGGATACACAAAGGTGAAGAACTGAGAACAATGATCTAATCTGCTATAAGCTGCATGACCTCCTCTGTTCTATGCAGACCAGCTTCTTCCCCTGTTACTCTGCAGCAGACTCTAGAATGCAAGCTCCATTTGGCAAGATTCTTGTCTTTGTCCACTACAATATTTCCAGTATGCAAATCCTGTCTGTTTAGTTGGCTGCTGTCTTCCTAGTATTTAGAACAATACTCGGTACACAGTAGACAATAAACAGGACTGGCTGCCCCCAAATAGGGTCTTCAGCCTTGCAAGTCACATGATCTTTAGAGTCCAATGTTCCTGAACCAGTGTGATTTGCCCAGCTTGGATCAGGAATCAACCATAAACTGTAACCGGACAAAAAATGCAGGTAGGTCAGAGACAATTTTCAGAGAAGGGGGCATGGATAAGCAGATATCCCAGATGTCTACCCCACAGGATGCATATGATGGCCCTTCATGATCTGGTCCGTGTCTACCTACAGGATGCAAGCATAATACAGTGGTTAAAAGAACATGTTTTAGGGTCAGGCAGCCTGGATTCAAACCCTGGGTCAACTACTTACTGTCTATATAACTTTGGCCAAGTTACTTAGTCACTCTGAATCTTCATTTCCCTATCTGTAAAATGGAAACAATTACCTTTTGAGATTGTTTCAGAGTTAAGTAAGAAAATATATGTAAAGATATTATAGAGTGCCTGGCACACACTAAACTCTCAATAAATGGTAGCTACTTCTACCAAGCATGTAGGTCTGGTGTCTACTACATCGTTCTGTATCCTCATACAAACTTTGTATCGCATTCATTTTAATATCTACTTTAGTTGACTGTATTAGGAGTGCACACTTAGCACAGAATAGCCAATCCACAGGCTGGTCAGTGACCCACAACTACCTGATGTACAGATCCTCTCCCTTTCAGGTCTGGTTTCAGTGTGGCATGGCCCCTTCCCAGAACTTTGTTTCTGGCCAGGGCCCTGAAGCATGCTGCTAAATTATGTTAAGTCTTTTTTTTTTGGCCGCGCTGTGCGGATTGCAGGATCTTATTTCCCCGACCAGGGATCTGGGCCACAGCAGTGAAAGCACCAAGTCCTGACCACTGAACCACCAGGGAATTCCCAAAATTAGGTTAAGTCTTGCAGGCCTAGACTTCTAAGGAAAACACAGCTGTTAAAAAAGGGCGGTCACATGGGCACAATAATTATGATATTAGGAGTAGCCTAATAAAATCTTTGGCTTTGAAAACTAACTAGAAACCTATGGAGGCTCTTCAGCTTTTATATTATAGATGCTCCCTGACTTGCACAAAATTTGATTTATGCACGTTTGATTTTATGCATATTATCCTAAGGTACATCATAATATTTTAGCAACGCAGGCTTTGAATTCTACACAGAGATACAGAGCAGTCTGGCTGACAAACAAAAACCATGAGGTAGAATGGAAGGCTGGAAGCATCCACCACAAGGTCTCCTCTTGCTTCTAGTCTTAATCTGATATCTTGGGCTGCTGCTTTACGTCTGGCCTGGCCCTCAGGACTACACTGACCCAGTCTCTTGTAGGCTTGACTAGCCCAATGAATAAGCACTTGACATAGGGAATGTCTAATAATCTGTCCATCTCTAAAATTCTATGATTCTGCTTCCCTCTCTTAGTCTCCTCTACCCACAAAATATAACATTAAAGATCACCAATAAGAACTTTTGTTAGTGGGACTTCCCTGGTGGCACAGTGGTTAAGAATCCGCCTGCCAATGGAGGGGACAAAGGTTCGAGCCCTGGTCCGGGAAAATCCCACATGCCACAGAGCAACTAAGCCTGTGCGCCACAACTACTGAGCCTGCACTCTGGAGCCCATGTTCCACAACGAGAGAAGCCACCATAATGAGAGTACCTAGCACCGCAATGAAACGTAGCCCCCACTCAACACAAAGAGAGGGCTAGACTAGAGAGAGCCCGTGCACAGTAACAAAGACCCAACACAGCCATAAATAAATAAATAAATATTTTTAAAAAAGAACTTTTGTTAGTAAAAGTACCCCACTGTGGTGCTAAGACATATATGACCTCAGTTCCTAACTGGTTAATAGTCACTCACATTCCTCATGATAAAAGTCTCATTGTCGGGGCTTCCCTGGTGGTGCAGTGGTTGAGAGTCTGCCTGCTGGTGCAGGGGACACGGGTTCGAGCCCTGGTCTGGGAGGATCCCACATGCCGCGGAGCAACCGGGCCTGTGAGCCACAACTACTGAGCCTGCGCGTCTGGAGCCTGTGCTCCACAACAAGAGAGTCCACGACAGTGAGAGGCCTGCGCACCGCGGTGAAGAGTGGCCCCCGCTCGCCACAACTAGAGAAAGCCCTCGCACAGAAACGAAGACCCAACACAGCCAAAAATAAATAAATAAATAAATTAAAAAAACAAACAAAAAAAAAACCTCATTCACTTTAAAAAAAAAAAGTCTCATTGTCAAGTCAGTTAAAACAGTGAAGATAATAATTTTTACATAATTGGTTATATATTGATGATAATCTTTTCTATCAAGTATTTGTGCTTTCAACTGTGCTGAATTCAATAGTATTTAATGCTAATACAATAGTGTGAGCTTTACTTAGACATAAAAGAAACAAGCATCATTTGTAATTAAATTCAGGTTTAAAATTATGTGTATGGTTTACTTGTTTTTAAAAAACATTAATAGGAAACCTCAAACATATACAAACATAGAATAGTATAACGGATCCCCATGCCATCATAACCCAGCTTCAGCAATTCCAATTCATGGCCAATCTTGTTTCATCTACTCCCTTAACCCACTTTCTTCCCCTCATCCCAGACTACTTTGAAGAAAATTCAAGACATCATACCACTTCACTATAAATATATAACTTTTAATAATGGTTCTCAGATTAAATCTCATCCCAGCAATAAAAATAAAAATACTGATATGGACTAATTCAAGCGGGATGTTTACCTATTTTTTCCTTCTTAAAACTTTTGTCAGGAGCAGAGGAGTTGCAAAGTGGTAAAATGACAACATATTCTCAAGGAGAATACAGAGATGAGTTCTAAATTCATATAGATCTATTTTTTTCTAAAAAAGGATATTGATGAGCTTTTTAAAAAATACTATTTAAAACAGGCAAGATAATCTATAACCCCAATATTCTTTTTCTTCAATTTATTCAAATTCACAGTTAACTGTGAGAACCAGCATCACTATAGCCCAGTCCTGCAGCATAGAAAACGTTGTTCAACAGTTCATGCACTTAAGATTTTCCGAACCCTAAACACAGGTTGCTTCTTAATGTCTATGGTTGGTTTCTACATATGCTTCATTTAAGAAGTATACAAGAGAGATGGTTTTCAAACTTTTTTCCACTTACATGCCAAAGTTATTCAGGGGAACTAATTCAAAGCAAGGCAAGAGAAATGTTCGAGAGAGAGTGGAAAACGTCTTTTGATCTTGAAAGTTGGATCAGCCAAGAGAACAATTTAGCTATATCCCATTAACTGCAGGGAATTAAAAACAAGGCAGAGAGAAAACATATCTTCTGTGTCTGTCTTAAGTGGTTTAAATACCTCAAAAATCAAACTCAAATTTAATTAGAAATAGATTGACACATTTAACAAATGCTCACTGAATTTCCTCTTGTAATTTCTTCCCTCCTCTGCAAAAAAGTATGGGGGAAGAATGAGTTTCAATTTCATTTGTACATAAAATTCCAAATTTCATATTTCTGCTTCTGGAGAAAGCACCATTTTAAAATATCACTGTAACTGATGCAAACTAAAATATTTTGGTAAATTCTTCAAACCGTGTAGCATTAAAAAAATTTTAATACTGCTCACTTTTTAAAAAAAAACTATTTATTATAATTCATAGATTTAGGAAGTTTTCAAACATATCAAAGTACTATGAAAATATGTACCACCTCATAATGTTACAATAGCAAGAAGTAACAAGTAAATAAGGCAGGTTCAAGACAGAAGTGGGAAGTAGAAAATAACCTGGACATCCCTAGCCTCCCCATGATATATCCTTTTTCTCCCTCTGTAACTTACCCACTCTGCGAGGCACTCTTGCTCAGAAACTCAAGATCCTTGTGCTCCCCCTTTTAAAATGTGCTCTCAGGAAAAGAGAATGTGAATTTATGCACTGAGGTAAACATGACAATAACTTGGCGTGTTACTCTTATGGGGTTATTTGCATCTTAACCTTAAGCTTCAAGAGATAACAAGAGTGGAATTTTTAGCACTGGCTAGCAGGTAGGAGTGATTTCATCAGTGCCTTTGAAAGCTCACATTAAAGTCACGTTCAACCTGTGGATAAGGTCATCACCAAAGACATACAAATACACGTAAAGTAAACCTACCAATTAGAGTTTAATCGGTACGATTTTAATTTTATAGTTCAATTCTTTTCAGCAGGGATACTTTCAAAAAAATCAAATTAAAAAATCAAATTAAGAGTTACAAAGAAAATCCTCACCAACCCCTCAAATATTCAAAAAAGAACCTCAATGATAAGCTTGTATTTTGTCTTCTTTACCTGAAGAAGACAAAACACTGCACAACCAATACAAAAAAGAAGCGGGGTGGGGGGAGATGATGTTTGATGGTAGTGAAACTAGATTCCAATGCCAAACAAAAATGCTGGAGGAGAAGGGCATGAGTATAATACCGAACAATTATGGTCTAATATTTCCTGTTTGTCAATTTCAACTGTCAGCAAGGAAAATAGAGTTCATTTCTTCAGCAGAGGAATTCCACTAGTTTTTAAGTCTGAACCTTCAAACTTGGGAAGCTTTCCTCCAGGTTGCCAGCAAGGGTCTTATCAACTTCACGTAGGATTTTGAGGAAGTCTTCTACCTGTGAGTCAAACAAAAGAACCAAATAAACGTAAGTAGAGGAAAAGATGTTTTAAGATACTGACTATTGTCTGTAAAAATGCTCTACCTATGTTTTCTAAACAGTCCAATGGAAAAGAAATGTGGACAGCTTGTCAGATGACAATAATAGTACTTCCTGGATGGTCTCTGAAACCTCAAGGAAATGACTAGCCCTTTCCATTTGTTTTCTTTTAAACTAGTATTTATCCTCCTACTGATTCCCCTTGAGGGTCCATTACCCGAGTTGTATTATCATCCTCCTTGGTGACCCACCCCCTCACTCCCACATTCCATACTTCATTTTCCTAAGAAAAGTTATTTTGAAATTGCCTCTAATGGTAGCAAACGCAATGTAATTTGAAGGACCATAAAAACCTACTGACTATACCTACCTAAGAATCTTATTTTTGGTTAATATATATGCTATAACACAAAGGGGTACTATAAATTCAGTGTTGATTCCTTTCTCTTAAAATTTAAACTGTTACTCAGGCTAGTGCCATGAATTATCCAACAGTCATCTATCTGACAAAGGCATTAAGTCATGCGCATTATATACACTATCTTTTTTGACAAAGCCCTCAAAGATCAAGTGCTTACTTAAAACATTTTACTCAGTAATCTCCTGAAACTCAGCCACCTATACATTTACTCATACTCACCACAGGGTTATAGAGAGGAAGAAGGTTTTCAAATGCACAGGAACACTTCTGTTTGCTTAATTGGCCCTCCTTTAGTCCCTGAGCTACAGTCTCCTAAAACAAACAAACAAAAAGATCTGATGTCAAAAAAGGAAAATTTCTAAAGCTATATCTAGTGAGTAAATACAAACCAGTATTTACAATTCCCTACTGATCCTACATGAGTTTCAAATGTCCCAAACTAAACCCACCATCATTCCTCCTTGTGTAACTCCAACATGTGCTCCACTGCAGCCCTTATTTTGGTGAAGGCACCACCAGCCACCCAGCCTGCTGCGCAAACCAAAAATGTGGGGTACAGCCAAGACTTCCTCCTCTGCTGCTAGCCGCTCCCCCTAAGTGTTTAATTCTACTCTACTAAATCTCTCTCATCCCACTCCTCCTCTCCATCCACTCTTCCACTGTCTAAGCTTTCATTCTTTTTCAGGTTATTCTTGAAGATTACCAGCCACAAGAGCCTGTTGGTTGGTCTCCTGACTTCTAGCCTCAACTCGCTCTAATCCTCTCTCTCCACTGATTTTGGAGTAATCTTTCTAAACAGATCACATCACTTGATGCTTAAAAAAAATCTCTAGTAGCTCCTCAGTTTCCTCAAGATTAAGTCCAAATTCCATTAAGTGGCATATCAGAATTTTCAAGACATATCTCTGGTTTATTCTCAGCCCACTTTCCACCTATATTCCCACCACATAAATATTAAGAAACATCTACATCCCTCCCTCCAAAACAACAAAAGCAACAACAAGCAATGGGAAAAATACTTGCAACGAATATGCAAAAGATATAGATATAGAATTACCCAAGGAATTCATATAAACAATCAAAATGGGTAAGTTTATAAAGCAGGAAACACAAATAATATACAAATATATGGAAATATATTCAATCTCACTAATAATAAAAATGCAAATCAAAATAAGGCACAATTTGGGGCTTCCCTGGTGGCACAGTGGCTAAGAATCCACCTGCCAATGCAGGGGACACGGGTTCAAGCCCTGGTCCAGGAAGGTCCCACATGCCGTGGAGCAACTAAGGCCGTGTGCCACAACTACTAAACCTGCACTCTAGAACCCATGAGCAACTACTGAGCCCACGTGCCACAACTACTGAAGCCCACACGCCTAGAGCCTGTGCTCCGCAACAAAAAAAGCCACCGCAATGAGAAGCCCACGCACCTCAACAAAGAGTAGCCCCCACTTGCTGAAGCTAGAGAAAGCCCACACACAGCAACGAAGACCCAACACAGCCAAAAATAAATAAATAAAACATTAAAAAATTAAATAAAAAAAACAAGGCACAATTTATCACCTGCTGAATTTTACTTGATATAAAAATTATAATATACAATAATAAGGATCAAGTAAAACCAATATTTTCACATGTCAAAAGCATTTTGGCAATATGTAGCCATTTATGCCTCAGTCAGCTTCACATTTATCATGTCGAAACCAGCAATCTAACTTCTGAAAACCTATGCTAAGGTAATAATCCCAAATCAGGAGAAGGGAAGCAAGATAATTCACCAAAAATACAAATCACCAGAATAACTGAAGCTTGTTTTAAGGAATATTCTTCTTAAAAAAGTCAATGAATATGAATATATTCTTCATAGTTATATTCATAAATATATTTTTCCTAAAATATATGGATAGAAAGAATATGCTCAAAGAAAGAATACGTTAATAATCCTGCACATATTCAGGAAGAATACTCCTTATAACAAGTTTACAGTAAACTTTGAAAATTGATTTTTTGGCAAATTGGGTATTAAACAAACTGGCTCTCAGTGAAAAATCTTTCAGTGTATTGATCAGGAGTCAGGAAAAGTGCTTGTAAAATGTTACGTGAAAAGAGCAGCCTCCAAAAATTGTATATACTGGTGATAAGTATGTGAAAAACACAAAAATAAATATACCAAACTACATCAGTTGTTAGTTTAAGAGTATAAACTTATGATAAGTTTTTTCTTTCTCTATTTTCTCAAATTTATGTAAAATTAAAAAATAAAAACACTAATAATAAAATTTGGAGCAGTAAGCAATCCATACTTTCTTTTACTGAAGAAAGCATTAGTACTTCTTTCCTACCTTTGTTAAAACTTGGAAAATATTAGACAGAAATTCACATGAAATATCCTTCAAGATTTTCAAGTGGAAGTCATCCTGGGTTAAATCAGACTTTTTAGTTTCTTCTGTGTTAGACTCTGCTGAGTTCTCTGGTTTCTTCTGACAATGTTTCATATTTTGTAAGACACGAATCAGGCTGTCAATTAGAGGAAGATCTACTGTACAAACAAATCAAGAGGCATGGCATCAGCCAGTTAAATTTGGTTACCATTCATTCATTCATTCATTCCTGCACATGTACTGAACACCTACTATTGCTAGATACTGTATTTTAGGTATTGCAGATATGGTGGTAAACAAGATCATCAAGGCCTCAGACTTCAAGAGGCTTACATTTTTATACTCCCAAATAAGCAAATAAATAACAGATTGAAGAAGAAACCCAAAATGATGAAAAAGAATAGATATCTGAAAATATAATTCTGGAACAGCCCCTCATCCCCCAAGACTTAAATTTGAAAGTACCAGGGAAAATTGATAAGGAATAGTCAACACTGAGATATATGTTTTAAGTTATCAGATATTAAGGATTAAAAAAATGGGGGAGGGGCAGTTATAATTATATTTTGAGCCAGTTATAAAGGTAACCACTAGACCCAAAATACAACCCTTACTAAATGCCAGAAATACTCACAAAGCAAATAAATTATATATTGAGGTATTTCAATATAAATATACATAATGAAAAATATAATACGACAGCATTCAGATCAAACATAACTATAACTACATTTAAATGAGTTTAACTCATCTATTAAAAAGAAATCAAAACATCTAAAACAAAGTATTTAGAAAGGTTGAAAAGAGTAAGATAGACAAAGGTATTAGGGGCAAATGCAAACAAAAGGAAAACAGGGGATGTGACCTTTGTATCTGATATAAAACGATTTAAGCCAAAAAAAAAAAAAAAGAGCATTATGGGCAAACTATAATGAATGTCTATATACCAAATAACATGCCATCAACATTCATTAAGAACTACAAATGATAAAAAGAAAAGGACAAAATATTGGCAGTAAAAAATATTAATTTTCCTCTCTTTCCACATCAGATCAAATCGACAGAAATAACTAAGGTTATGGAAGAAGTAATCAGCATAACAACTGACACCTCCAACATTTATAGTCTAGCTCAGGCCTCTCTCCTCAGCTCCAGACTAAGACTGTAAGCTCAACAGCTCCAGCTGAACACTGAGTAGACATCTCAAACTTATCATGTTTAAAACACCACTCTTTCCCATCTTAGTAAATGGCAACTCTCCTGGACAAAAATGCCAGACATAGCTTGACTTTTCTCACCCTCCTCACCCTATCAGTCAGCAAATCCTGTTGGCACTACTTAAAAGTGATCAGAATCTGATTATTTTTCCCCACCACCGCCCCTGTTACCACCTTAATCCAAGTTATACCATCTCTTGCCTCAAGGTCACAGCAGCCTCCAAACTAGTCTCCCTTTTGTACCCTTGCCCTCCCCCTGCATTTCTCATCAACATGTCTGCCAAAGAGAGCCTGTTAAAGTTGGCTCCTGTCGGTCCATCCTCTGCTTAAAACCCTCCACAGCTCCCTAACTCATTCCAAGTAAAAGGCAAAACCAGGCCCTCTACACTCTAGCCCCTGTTGCCTCTCTGGCCCCAGGTTACATTCCTCTTACCCAGGCTGAAACCGCCCCAGCCATACAGGGCTTCACTGCTCTTCCTCAAATATACCAGGCACACTTCTAATTCAAGGCTTTTACACTCGTCGTCCTCTCTGTCTGGAATGCTTTTCTCCCCAAGTATTCACATGACTCACTCCATTACTTCCCTCAGGTTTGTACTCAATGTCACCTTCTCAGTGAGGTAACATCCATAAATGCAGAGAAGACACTTGAAAACAGTCAGCATTTTTTTGATTAAAAAACTCTTTATAAAATAGAAATAGATTAATATCTCCTCAAATGGTACAACATAAATAGCTTAAGCCCAAAATAGAATCATGACTAATGATGAACCTCTAGAATCATGGCCAGTAAAGTCAGGAAAAAGGCAAGGATCACCATTATTACTTAACCCCAGAGGTCCAAGGCAACCCATTAAATAAAAGAAAGAAGAGGTAGAAAAGTGATAAGACTTCTCTAAGTTAAACCCAAAGTAGTATTAGATAAAGTCCAAGATTACCACTGGAACAACCATTAAAAACAGTAAGAGAATTCAGTAAGGTTACTAGATGCAACATTAATATAATATACAGAAACCAACAGTCTTCACATATTCCAACAAGAATAATCAATGGAAGAAAAGATACCATAGACAACAGTAATCCATAAGATAAAATATCTAGCAATAAATCTAACAAGAAATATGTAAGATCTGTATGAAGAAAACCATAAAACATTGCTGAGAGACATAAAATAAGACTTGAACAAATGGAAAAGCATATGTTCTTGGATACTCTACAAATTTAACATGATGTCAATAAAAAAAATCAGGAAGGCTTTTTGGTTTTGTTTTTGGAAACTGTCAATCTAATTCAGCGTTAAAAAAAAGAATAATAACAGTCAAAAACATTCTGAAAAAGTAGAATGCAGGAGTACTAACCCTACTAGGTATCAAAATATAAAGCTTTAATAATTAAAACACTGTGGCTACTGATACATGAATAGAGCAATGGAACTGAATAAAATATATAGGGAAATATAAAACATAGTAATGATGAAAATTCAAATCTGTGTCGGTAAACTGGTTTACTTACTCAGTAATGTTGAGACGGCTGGGTATCTGGAAAAAACTTGAAACCATACCTCACATGTAACACCAGAATAAATTCTAGATGGTTCACGCATTTAACTGTATTAGTCATAAAAATCATTGTGAAAGACCATTTGTTTACATAGGAAAATATTCATTTATACTTATAAATGAAAAAAGTTGCCTAAAAAACAGGCAAAAAAATACGTACGGATGTGAGTGTATAGTAGTTATCTCTGAATGATCAGATTACAAGCACTAGGCTTCCTTTTATAATTTTTTTTGTATTGGGCATGTGATGTTTTTGTATTCAAGGGGCTAAAAGCACTAAAAAAATGGGAGAAAGAAATAAAATGAACAGCAAACACATCTGATAGACTAAAATTTAATTTAGTGGACTAAAATTATACTTGCCTTTTCCTATCTTTAGATACTCCTGTTCAGCCTGTGAGGCATAGATGGCGGACAACACTGAAAAAACAGAGGCTAGCACTGTTTTCTGTTCTTGAAGTATGATGGGTGGATCATCAGACTGGCAGAATTCATGGCACACCAGGTCAAAAAGTAAATTCCAAGTGTCTTTTCCAGTATCAGGACACCGTACTTAATAAAAATGATGAAGGAAGTAGTAATTCAAAAACAGAAAACAATTAAATGAGTAACTATCATGCTTCCCCATATAACATCTTACCAATTGCTTGAATTCCATCATCCACTGTAGTCAGCAGCTGTAAGATATGCATGTAAACATCGAGCCCTTCTGGATTTTCAGAACTAAATACAAAAAGCAAAAACTCAATCAACTTTACTGTCTATGGGACTGTAATCAATCATTTTTTCAACAAATATTTATCACTCTGTACTAGGCACTGCCCTATATGCTAAGGATAAAACAGGGAACAGAACAAAGTCTCTGTGTTCACCAGAGCTTACATTCTGATGGGGAAATCAGTCAAAAAACAAATATTATGTAGTACAATCAACACACACAGGACAAGAAGTAAAAATTCTTTTTGGCCCTGTCCCATGAAAGCAACAATGCAGAAACCTACCAAGTGATACTTCACCATTCTGGTTTACTTGCATAATCAGGACAAAAAATGACTATGAGACTTTTATAGAATGAATGTAAGGCCCACTGCACCAAGCACTGACAATAATGATGTTCTTAAAACTTCATAGGATCATCTTAGCTCCCAAGTTGAGAATACTAAAACCAGATAAGTATAATTTTTGTGATCAACAGTTCGGATTCCTAGAAACTCACAATCTTAGTTCTTCAACCACACAATTAAGTGAAAAAGATAGTGAACAATTAAAAGATGGTTCAGCAAATATTTAAGTGCCTACAGTTTGCAGGCACTATGTTAGGGGCTGGGAAAACAGAGATGTATAAAACGTCCATACCTTCATGAAATTTACTGTCTAAAATGAAAAACAATAATTAAAGGGGTAATAACAATAAAGTAATATGAATATAGCACTAGCAGAAGTCCAAGGTGCTAGAGGACCACAAAGCAAGCAGATTTAACTTAAGTTTGGAGAATCAGGGAATGTATCGTAAGAGAAATGGTTACACAGAAACCCAAAGGGGCAAAGAAATACTGGAGGCAGAGACAACATGGTGTGCAATGGCTTGGTTTCGAGAGAGCTTGGTTCAGTTGAAGAAATGAAGGAAATTTCATACAGAAGACAAGGAATAAGGATGGAGAATCACAGTACAGGGCCTTATAAGCCATAAAAATCTGGACCTCATCCTAAGGAAGGCAACTGAAGGGTTTGAAGCAGGAAAGTGAGATGGCCAGCGTACATTCTAGAAAAACAGCTCTACAGTCTAGGCTTGGAAGGAGCTAGTCTTGAGGCTGGGAACTCAGAGAATGTTGTAGCCGTCCAGGTAAGAGACAGTGGCCTGGTGGTGGCACAGATGGAGTCCCAGAAAAAGTCAGGAAGAAGGATTGGAGGTTGACTAGCCATGGGAAAAGACTGGGATGGGGAAGTATCGGTAATGGCTTCCATGTTTCTCCCACATTATCCAAATGGAATAATGATTACATCATTCACTGAGATTGAGAATACGGAAGAAGCAGGTTTGGGGGAAAGATGATGAGTTTAATGCTCACTTGGATAAAGGACATAAAATTAAAAGGTTTTAATATGAGTTATAGGGAATTCTCTGGTGGTCCAGTGGTTAGGACTCCATGCTTCCACTGCTGAGGGCCCAGGTTCAATCCGTGGTTGGGGAACTAAGATGCCACAAGCCACGCAGCACAGCCAAAAAAAAAAAAAAAATGTGGATTATAAAGCACTAAGAATGCACAGTTGACCAATAAGCAGATCAATTCATAAATTAATGTTCTAGTGACTAGCAATAAACAGCTTCAATGACCTACAACACCTAGTAATCACTCTTGGGAAGACATCAGAGCCCAAAAGCCAGTCACTTATCCAAGACTGGCACATACACACAAGGAGCAAGAAAACAAGTGATGTCTGACATTAACTGAAGAAGTTGTCACATGACCAGTGGAAAATAAAGCACAAAGAAAATCTTTTCCATTTGATATAAATTATACGAAACTGCAGAAGATTTTAAAACAGTAACCATAATTAATGCTGAACAACAGCCTACTGCTAAGTAATATTAGAACAAGTATTTTGCAACCATTATGATTCTTGCAAAGAGCAAATATATTGTTACCAATATCAGTAGTGAATCAAACCTGACACAGATCAGCTATGTGCTACTCATCCTATTGAAAGGAAACTAAAAAGACATATCTGGGCTTCCCCGGTGGCGCAGTGGTTGAGAGTCCGCCTGCCGATGCAGGGGACGCGGGTTCGTGCCCCAGTCTGGGAAGATCCCACATGCCGCGGAGAGGCTAGGCCCGTGAGCCATGGCCGCTGACCCTGCCCGTCCAGAGCTTGTGCTCCGCAACGGGAGAGGCCACAACAGTGAGAGGCCCGCGTACCGCAAAAAAAAAAAAAAAGACATATCTAAGGATACTTCTAGCAACTGGATTTTCCCAGAACATTCTGCACAAAAGAGCTCACCTACCGTACTTGTTTGGCAGCTTCAAGTACACAGGGCACAATTCGAAACACTGGCTGCTGTTCAGAATCTTCCTGGGGTTGGTCCAGAGGCTGAACAGCCCCATTTCTAATCCATTCCAACATTAGCTTCTCATCCAAATCAAAGAGCTTGTCCACAACCTCCCCGACCTTCACCAGCAAGTCAACTGCAGAGAATAAAAGAGATATTGAAATAAGAAACAAAATTTTTAAAGTAGTAAGTCTAATCGAAATTCTTAAAACTATTCCAAGAAAGCCAAATCTTGCCAAAGCATTACTTATTCCAAGGGCAATTTGCTTACCTCCTTTGTTTAAATTTGCTTGGCTTCCGTCATTTTTACGTGGGGGATTTATCAGTATCCTGAGAGTTTGAGAAACTTCATATCCTGAATTGAAATACCTTCTCACCTAACACTTAGTCTTTAATTGACCTCTATAAATAGTTACCTGGTTTCCTAACAATTAAATATAATTTAAAAAATATTTTTTTCTACATTACATGGTGACTTACCATTTGTTGAACTTGACATGATGAAGCAAATGCTATCATAAATAGCTGGATGTTCTCGGATTCTTTCAACCCAGACAACGGCCACTTCTGTCTGGGAAAGGCAAGTAAGCAACAACCTACGTGATAAATGTGAGCTTAGTATCTATCTTTCTAAAACAGTAAAGGAAATTCAGGAGTGAAAGAGCAACTCTATTTTCCTAGTTTCCCTTAGGGGTAAGTATATAGAATCCATAAAAAGAAGAAAGCATACCTGCTTGTTTCCAGCAGAGTAGGAGGGTCTGAATCACACAAACAGTACAATAGTACCTGGCTACAAAAACAAAAAAGTTAACCCAATATGCCTCACTTCTCTCATTTCAAATATCAAAGCCAAAAAATCTGGACCTCAACCTTAACTTTTATTTATAAAAACTTAAATAAGTTTTTATTTAACTTTTTAAACATTTTAATTGTGAAATATAGCATGTATACATAAAAACCTGTAAGATACAAATCTATACTTAGTGAATAATTATAAAGCAAGAAAAAGAACAGAGCTGCATCTCTGTAGCCCTTGTGTGTCCCTTACAAATCACAATTCTCTTTCCCACCTAGAAATGACTACTATCCAGACTTATCCAGCAATCATTTTCTTGGCTTACTCTACAGTTCATTTTATATATCTTGGTTTTGAACTTTGTATGAAAGAAATTATATTGTATGTATTCTTTTGAGTCTGAGTTCTTTGGCCCAACACCATGTCTTTAAGATCTACCCATCTTGTTCCAGTAGCTGCAGATTCATTGCTGCAGAACATTTCATTGTATGAATATAACACCATTTATTTTTCCAGCCTACTACTGATGAACATTTGGGTTGATTCCAATTTGGGGGTTTCAAGCAATAGTCTTATAATACTTTTCATATGAGTATACTGATATATGTGTGCACGGTTTCTCTTACCATATACCTATGAGTGACATCACTGGGTCACAGCATATGTATACCTTCTGATATGACTAGGTAATGCCCAACTGTTCCAAAGTGGTTGAGCAAATTTATATCTCATCAGCAATGTATACTGTTTCATATTAGCTTTAAGATATGCATTTAATTAAGTTCATAAAACTTGTCAATATTACTCATTGACAGATTTTTAATAGGGATCACTAGAGACCAAACATAATCCTGAGTCACTTATTGCATGAATGATTATATGTTATGGAAGAATAAATACTTTAAACTAGGATCTTAAAGTCCTTTCACACCTAGAAGAGGTAATAACCTCTATTTTGGAGCCCCAGGTACTTGAATCCTGTGTTAAACCCTACAGCCCTTGTTGAAAATAACCGCCTAGAAGAGTTTTCTTAACCTATTGTGAACACAAATTTCTTTGAGATTCTGATTAACAGCCATAAACCCTCTGCCTAGAAAATGAATATACTCATAAAATGTAGCATATAATTCCAGGGTGTTCTCAGACCTCTTAAAATAACCACCGGGGTTTCCACCTTAGAAATCCTCTGCCCAAAACTTCCTACATGTAGAAGAGAACTGGCCTCCAAGCAGAAGTATGAGAGCGTTTGAATCACAGGGGCCACGCTGTACCCTCTAGTCTCTTGGCAAGTCCCCCATCACCACCATCTAAGTCAGAACTGACTTGTTGACCAGTGTCAGGGTGACACTGGTCAACAAGTCTAGTTTTTCCAGACTCTCGCTCTGAGACTTTGGATTCCCTGAGCCTAAACTGTTTTGGACTCTGGTCAGGTGCCTCCATCTCCAAGCTCTGCCCCACTGGTTCTTATCCCATGTGGTTTACCACCTGCTGACGATTCAGGCCCCTTTGCAATCAATACAGAAAACAGGCCTAAATCCTGAATCATGTCCATAAATAGCACGCAAGTCCCCAGCCATCATCAACACACAATGAAGTTCCTGGAGACTGCTCATCAGGAGAAAGGAAGTACTACATTTCATAATGTTTCCCTATCTGTCCTATGTACTAGGATTTCCTTAGGGATATAAAATATGAACCTATTTTTTAAAAACATAATTATTATGTAATAAAACTTACCCAAGATTTTTCTCACTGCTGATGGACACACATATCTCTTGGAAACAGGCCATATTACCTAAAATTCCCACACAGATTTCCTGCCAAATCAAATTTCACAGGTCACAGTCGCTCTGAGGTAAAAGACACATATACAAAAATAACAACTTGGAAAAAAAAAAAACTTTCACTGAGCCAAGTTTGGGGAGAGAAAAGAAGGAGAGGCAGCATACAGAAGTATACTGTCTGCACCCTAATTTGACAAGTTTCCAGTAGTATTTGAGAGGAGATGAAAGACATAAGAAAGATCCAAGGCAGGCAGGAGTTATGGAATAAGAAATCTTACGGATGAACTGAGTCATAAATGATTGGTAGGATTCAGATATACAAACAAGAAGACAGACATTCAAACACGGGGGAAAGTATCAGCAAAGGCAGGAAGGGACTAATGTAGAGTGGACAAAGGCTAATACAGAAAGCTGCCCGTATCAGTACACAGTTATTAGTAGCACACAGTGGGAGGAGAGCATGAGATAAAGACAGCAGGTAAAAAGGATCAGGATTAAGGGCCCTAAATGCCTACTTAATTTAGTAGGTTATTTGGAGACATGAAGGTCCTCAAGGAAGGGGTCAACATACTGCAATGTTATTTTAGGTAGATTATTCTGGAAGCAAAATGATAGTGAAAAAACTTTAAAAGAAGTTCATAACCTCAGTAGTAACAGCTAATGTTTATTTAGCACTTACTACACCCAGGCACTACCCTAAGCACTTTCCACATAACATTTCATACAATAATTTATGAGGTATGTACCATTATTATCCCCATTTTTCAGATGAGGAAACCAAATCACAGAGAAGTTAAACAACTTGCTGAAGATCTCCAACTAGGAAATAACACAGCTCCAGAGCCTGAGCATTTCACCGTATCACACTGCATCTCTGAAATCAAGTAAAGGAAGATGAGGGTGGTGATGGCAGGCATGGAAAGGAATGACGCTGAGAAAGACTCAAGGTGAAAGCAGAATAATTTGATGGGAGTAAAGGGAGAAAGCAGTTGAACATAACTCCTAGGTTTCCAGTTGTTTCATTTCTCCAGTAGGAGAGATTGGTTCCATTGACAAAAAAATTGGAAAAGAAAGCATAGGAAAGAACACAATGAGTTCAGTTAGGATAGTGTTTCCAAACTTGCTCGAACACAAATATCACTCAGGGAGTGTGTTAAAAATACCAATTTCCAAAAAAAAAAAAAAAAAAAACCAATTTCCAAGTCCCATCTCAGAGCTACTGAATCAGAATCTCCAGGGTACAGTCCGGGAAGTTGTTTACCAAGCACATCATATGATTTATATGATTGGATAAGTGCGACAAACACTGAGTTAGGACATACGGACTTTTGGATTGGAAAATGCAACATGCAAATAAAGAATGCCTCAAGAAAGTTAGAGATATAGCACCTGAAATCAGAAAGGAGGTCGTAGCTTTGATCCCACAGGGAAGATTTACCCCCAAAGGTGTAAAGAGTGGATGAACTCACCAAGGAAGTGAATATAAAGAGGACAAGGGATCTGAGTCTACACCTTAAAAGGAGTCCACACTCAGCATAGGAAGAAAGTATCAATAAAAAGTCAAAAAAAGTAACAGAGAAGTGACTGGACAGGTTAGAGACCAGGAGAGTGAGGTGGCACCAAAGCTACAGGAGTAAAGAGTTTCAATAAAATGTGGGTGGTCAAATGTTGGGAAAAGAGTAAAAGAGAATAGGGCCAGAAGAGATACACATACATTTCCCCTAAAAACTAAAGAGGGAATAATTGAACTTCCAATCAAAGATCAAGTTTTTCAGTCTCAGCTACTCACTGAAATAACCTGGGGGGACTTTAAAAGCTGTCTGGAGTCCCACACTTGGAGAGCCTATTTTAATTGATCTGAGAATGGCCTGACTTAGGATTTATAAAAGTTCCCTAGGGCAAAGCTTCTCAAAGTTTGGGCCTTGGTGCTGGTCAAAACCTGACTAACATCACTGCAAACTTGTTAGAACTCCTCAATCCTACCCCAAAACTACCGGATCAGAAACTCTGGGGTGGACTCAGTAATCAGTGATTCTGGGACATACTGGAGTTGGAAAGCCCACATCCTAGGTGATTCTAACTTGTGGCCACAGCTGAGAATTGCTGTCATAGACAGGCTATGGTTCACAGACATATTAATATTAGGACTAACTCCTGAAAGGAGCAATTCTTATTTTCTTAAAATTAGCTTATTTTTTTTAAGTACTAATCGTGAGTCAGTGTACCTAAGTTAGAAAACTCCAGGAGAAAATCATATAACTGTCAAATCTTTATATTAACATAACAACTCAAGGAAAAAGTGGTTCATTGGTTCATGAGGCCCCAACTCAGGTGGAGCATTGTACTTAAATAAAATTTTAATTCAACATTCAATTTGTAAAAATATACTCCAGAATTCTTCACTTTATAATTTCAAACAAAGAGAGACACTACAGTACAGTGGTTACACTGAAGTAAGGCAGGCTAGGCTCAAATCCCAGCTCCATTCTTTCCTAGTTGTATGACCCTGGACAAATTTCTTAACCTGAGACTTAGTCTGTTTACTTACAAAGTAGAGATAAATGCTTACCTCATAGAGTAGTAAAATGAAATACTAAGTAAATAGCAGTTATTCATGGTTATAATTACTTAATAAATATTTGCTAATCACTCACAATATACCTAGCAGATGTCAACCTAAATGGCACTAAAGCACAGAAGACTTAATGAGAAGTACAGAATTGTTTTGGTGCATTCACTACCATCACTGGCCACTGAGAGCTTACTTATTTGGGAAGGCTTGGAAGTAAAGTACCATCTTGGGAAAATAGATGTGAATATTGAGAGGGGATGGAAGGCATACAAAGGAAGGCACAGAGATGGCAACGATCATAGTAAGCTCCTGAGGTGAGGAGTAGACAGGCCATGCTAAATTAGAAGACTATCTGGAGGATACATTTTATGCTAGAAAGACGAACTGGATTCAGATTGTGGAGAGTCTTGAGCAAGAGGCTGAGTTTAAGCAATAGAGGATTTTATGACTTTGAAAAAAAAAAAAAGCAATAAACTGAGAAATGGGTGGTCCGGGCACTGTTCCCTGTTCAGCCACATATTAGTGGCATAATGATGATTAGGACTATCTAGTGTCCATAGCTGTTAAATTAAAGTATTGATCTCCCTGGTCCAGCCCAAATCTAAAATTCTATGACTGTAATAATTTTAAATAGTGTATTACTTAGTACCTGGTAATGTTCAATAAACATCAGACTCATTTGTAGCCATGAAGAGCATTAAAGTGAGAAAAATGAAAGCCTATCCAGCACTACCTGCTGTTACCGCTCCAAAGAGGCAGCTCTAGAAATGCACATACTTACTCTTAATCGAGGACATTTGGATTTGGCCAATATTCCCATAAATATGTCAGGAACATTAAATTCGTGGAGAAACAAAGCCACATCCTGAAAATAGAAATGATTATTAACTTGGATGCTGAATATTCCTCCTTAAACACCACAGCTCAGGCAACCATAAAAAAAAATAATAATTCCATATATACCTCCTTTCAAGCACGAGGAAAAAAACCCCACAAGGTTAGGAATTGTGTCAATAGACAAAAGTAATGTTAGTGCTGTGGTATCTGGTCTCAAGGCAATGGAACAATCCCATAAACAAATCTGAACTAACTGTGATATTCCAAAGGACTGTCCTCCTTTTACTGCCTTGTATGTATTTATCTTAATGATCTTTCTACCCACCAGGAATTCTCTTTAACTCATTCAAGCACATTTGCTGATTACCAGGTATCATGCTAGAAGATAGGATAAGGGAAAAAAGTAAAAGTCATAATTTCTGTCTTCTAAGAACTTAAAACTTGATAGAGAAAACAGATTAAAAACCCCTATTGGGTTATGTCCAAAACCAGAACTTTTGTTTTCAAAATCCTCAACAGAAAAAAATTCTGATCACAATGTAACTGTGACAGCTTCACATCTTCCTAGAGAGTTTTCCCGGTCCCCAGTGCCTAAAGGGACACACCACACAGGTGAATGAACCTGGAGTGGACATGTGGCCCAACCTCGCTAGAAATGTGGGCTCCAAAACTAAATCAATTAGCTGTGGAGATTTGCACTGTAAAATATTTAGATAAAATTAAGTTTCTGGCTGTCTACTGCCTCGTATTTTCACCAAACTTGAGGTGTGTATTCGCAATACCTTAACTCAGAACACAGGCTATATGTCTCGTGTGAAAAATGCCCTTCGAAGGGCTCTCAAAGAGAGAGGGAGCAATCCTTCAGAGCAGCTGAAATTGGGGTAACCTGCATGACTGTTGACTAGAAGAGATATACTGCACTTATTAAGAGATCATGGTCAGAGAGAATATTTCAAAGACATACTCCAAATTAAAAGTCAAAGCAGCAGGTGCTCTCCACTCTAAGTGATCAAGCTGTCTGTCATGTGGGCAACTCTTTGTAGCATGCAGCGATTTATTTATTTAATGACAGTTAATAATTCCTGGAGTAGCAGGAATAATATCAATAATTAGGTAGCCTAATAATACCAATGCCAATAATAACAATAATGGCAATTAACATTTATTGAACAAGTATTAAATGCCAGGGCCAGTGAAGTGGTTTGCATGCTATCTCACTTAATTCTCAAACAACCCTATGAAGTAATTATTATTAACCCCATTACACTGCAGTTTTAAAAGGTTAAGCAACCTGCCCAAGACTGTACAATCAGTAGGAGAACAGAGCCAGAATTTGAACCCAGATGAGTCTGATCAAATCCACACTCTTAACCAGCACACCATAGTAACTGTCAGGTATTCATCCATTGATTACCTCTTCATAAAACATTTACTGAAAAACCTGAGTAATAAGCACTGTTTCAGGCTCTGGGGACACATCAGTGAATAAGATAGATAAAGTCTCAGTGGAGTTTTCATTCTAGAGGGATGAACAAACAATAAACATATAAACAACTAAACTACATAAATCCTAAGTGCTACAAAGAAGATAAACAAGATGGTGTGTGCTAGAAATGAAGACTGGGGGGGTACTCTAGATATATCAGAGAAAGTATCTCTGAAGACGTGACATTAAGCTTTTAAGAGGAGGAACTTAAATCCATCAGAGGACACAGGCTCAAAACAATCACTGAATAACAGGATAAGTGTTATGTAATAGAATGAACAGGTTCCATGAGAGCACAGAAAAGAGAGGAATCCTGCCTGGAGTGTCTGGGGAGGCATCACAGGAGAGGTGACATTTGAGGTGGGCCATAAAAGGTGGGAAAGATCTTGCAGGTGGAGGACATTCCATGCAGAGTGGCAGGAACAGTGCATGAGAATGCACATGAAAATGCAGGAAGCACCTGGAAGTCTCTGGTCCTGCTGAAGCACTGAGTGGCAGGTGATGTGTGAGATGTAGTCTCATTGGAGGGAATTTATGCCAGTGAATCAGTGGGCAGCTCAGTTCTCTAGAGGTAGCTCTCAAGAGCTACCATAAGAGGACAAAGAGGAAGCCAAGAGCATGACCCTGCCTCTACGGACAATCTCATTCAAACAGCAGCTCTAGTTTACCTATTTGATATTTGAGGATTTCACACTAAGATTTCATTTGAAAAACAGGTTGTTTCTTTTAAAAAATGTTTTAAAACCACAGCTTCTTAATAACTGTATAAAAAGTAGAGAGAAGATGAACAATACTCTCAACCAACTTGATCAAATTGACATTTACAGGGCACTCCCACCAGCAGCAGGAGCACACATGTTCTTTTTAAGTGAACACGGAACATTTACCAAGACAGACCAAGGTCTATAAAATCAATTGTATACTATATACTACCTATATACTATCAATGTATATCTATATACTGAAATTTTTAAAAAATACTATTTACAATAGCTCCCCAAAATTTGAAATACTGACAAAAGATGTGAAAGACCTAAATACTAAAAACTACATAACTTTGAAGAAATTAGAGAAGACCTAAACAAATGGAGCGACAGAACTTGTTCATGGGTCAAAAGACTCATTATTGTTAATTTATCAATTCTTTTCCTAAATGATCAATAAATTGAACTCAATCTCAGTCAAAATCCTAGGCTTTTTGTAGAAATTGACAAATTGATTCTAAAATTAATTTGGAAATACAAAGGACATAGGACAACCAAAACAACTTTGAAAAAGAACAGAGTTGGAGATTAACACTACCTAATTTCAAGATTACAAAGCTACTGTAATCAAAACAATGTGGTATTGGCAAAAAGATACAAATAGATCAATGGAACAGAACAGAGTCCAGAAATAGACTCATGTGTATATGTACGGATAACTGATTTTTGACAAAGGTGCAAAGGTAATTCAGTGGAGAAAGAATGGTCTTTTAAACACACTAACTAGAACTGGTTATCCGTAGGCAAAAAAAAGTGAAATTCAGTTCATACCTTGCATCAAACACAAAAATTAAGTCAAAATGGATCACAGACCTATAAGTAAAACCTAAAATCATAAAACTTACAGGAAAAAAAAAACACAACACAATTAAAAAGTGGGCAAAAGATTTAAACAGCCCCTTGCACTAAAGAAAATACACAGATTGCAAATAAGAACAGGAAAATATGGTCACTGTTATTAGTAATTAGGGAGATCTAAATCATAATTACAGTGAGAATCACAACACTCTTATTAGAATGGCTGAACTGAAATTAAAAAGACTAACCTTACCAAGTGTTGCTAAGGGTGAGAAGAAATTGGAACGGGACTGTACCTCATACACCGCTGGTGGCAACGTGAAGTGTAAAAAACACTTTGGAAAATAATTTGATCTTTTCTTTATAAGTTAAACATACACCTACCATATAATCCAGCCACACTACTCTAGGTACTCACCCAAGAGAAAGGAAAACATCTATCCACACATACGACTTATACACAGACATTCACAGAAGCTTCATTTGTAATAAACTGTAAACAACTCAAATATCCATCAAAGAATCAATCATGGTATACACATATAATGGAATACCATTCAGCAAGAAAAAATAATAAACTATAAATATACACAACAACATGGATGAATCTAAAATACTGATGCTGAGTGAAAGAGCCAGACTGATCCGAAAAAAGAATGCAATCCCATTTATACAAAACTCTAGAAAATGCAAACTACTCTGAAGTGACAGAAAGCCCATCAGTAGTTGCCTGGAGAGGGTAGAAGCAGGGAGGGGTAAGATACTGGGATTACCCTTAAGGGGCATAAAGAAACTTTTTGGGGCTGACAGACATGCTCTCTGTCTTAATTATGGTGATGGTTTCATGTGCAAATACATACATTAAAATTGTTCTAATTGTACACTTTAAAGATGTGCAGTTTTTATACTTCAATTATACCTCAAAATATATGCAGGTTTTTTGTGTCAATAATATCTCATAAAGCTGCTTTAAAAAATGGTTGAAGACAATGAGTAGCCATTGACAAATTTTAAGAGAGAATTTTAATATGAGTAAATCTGTGTTTTAGGAAAAAGATACCTTGGGTAGCAATGTGGAGGACAGAGGGAGGTGAAAGAGGCTAACAAAAGGATTTTAATCAGAAATCTACTGCAAAAGTCCAAGTAATAAAATGAGAGATTATGTAAGTCAACCTCTTTTTTTGCCCCTTTTCTTACCTGTAAAATAAGGATACTACCTATATCACAGGGTTACTGTGAAGAGCAGGTAGAATGCTTTCAAGCTACAGAGTCCCTTTCTTCTAGTTTAATTGTGGTACCTCAGCGGTCTCCTAACTCCTAACCTGCTCTCAAATATAAGGCCAGTGCTCTTTTTAGGTAGATAAGTATCAGAACTTTCCTGGGCTACAAGCATTCCAGCATTCATAAGAACTATCTACATAGCCCAAATCTAATGACACTCAGATTTTCTGCCTTCAAAGACAAAAGTTGAGCATTTACAGCTCCTGGGACCTCATCCCTGTACCATAAATAGGAGTGACTACAGACATTAAAGTTTTTCCCCAGAGACTTAAGGACTGAACCTAAAAAAAAAAAAAAAATCCATTCACTACCTCCTTACCCAACAGTCTTTTCACTTCCATTTCCAACCCCATACCTCATCCATTGACATATCCCACACTCTGCAAATTTCATTCTCCATTTCTTCATCAAGCTCCATCTGCTGCTCCTCATGATCTGAGCTGGATTTCGAGTTTTCAGGGCTAACAATCTTCAGAAACACAAAGGAAGGAGATGAATAAAGGCTGTCCACAGTACTCCTCAAGTAATATTACCCCGTAATCATTTAGAGGTCACAACAAAAAAAAGGGGGAATTCCCTGGTGGTCCAGTGGTTAGGACTCTGAGTTACCACTGCAGCAGGCACGGGTTCATTCCCTGGTCGGGGAACTAAGACCCCGCATGCCACCCGGTGCCACCAAAAAAAAAAAAAAAAAAGGAAATTAGCACCTTGGGTACCTTGGGTAAACACTATTGCTAGGCACTGGGTAGAAATACAAAGATAAACAAGATTTAATCCCTTACTTCCAAGTAGTTTAGGATCCAGTGGGGAAAAGACATATAAACTGATAATCACAACAGAAAAAGCTAAGTGATCCAACTGAATTGTGGACAAAGAGCCGTGAGAACAAAAATGATGGACCCATGACCAACGTCTGGGTGAAGTTTTCCCAAACTTCTCTTAGGAGGTGATACTGAAGCTAAATCTTTGAGAAGTAATCGAGGTTTGTAATGTGAAGAAGGGAGAAGAGCATACAGAAGAAAATACAAGAGTTCAGAGTTAAGAAAGGGCCTAGCATGTGTGCGGAATGGTAAGCAGTTTAGCATGTCATGGGCAGATGAAGCTGGAAAAGTTGCAAAGAGTCCTGGATTCCAAGCTAAGAAATACGTATTTTTCTCCTGTAGGCAAAGGTGACTCTGAGGAGTTCCCATAGACGGCTTTTTTTTTTTTTTTTAAGATTATTCTCGCAGCTGTGTAGAAGGTGGAGTGGAGAGGACAGTGACTGGAAGTAGTAAAAAATTTAGGGAAACATAAGAACGTTCATATTTACTGAGAGGCTCCTATGAGGCAAACACTATAGTAAGCACTCTATGGTTATTATAATCTTATACAATCTACGCAATAACTCTATATACAATAATATAAATATTATCCCACTTTATAGAAACTGAGAAAGAAATCGGTTAGGCGATTTGCCCAAAGTCACGCTGGGCAAGCCGCGCTGTTGACAACAGGGCTGTTTGACTGCAAAATCACCATTTATTCTACTACAACGAAAGTCCTCGAAACAGATCAATTAGGACCTGGGCTTCAGAAACGAAAGTGGGAATGAGGGGCAGAAACTGGTCACGTATTTTTGGAAAGTTTTCAAAAGTAAAACATTTTAATTAGAAGCATTCCAGCATCCCTGCCATTACACTTCCCTCTGTGTTGAGGGGCACAGGGAGCGGCGCACGGCAGTTTTAGGGTCCGGGAGACAGGAAGGACGCAAAGGGTGAGACCCGGCCGCTGGGGCCTGGGGAGGGGGTCGCCGTGGGGACGGCGGCTCCCCCGGCAGCAGAGGGCTGCCAGAGGCGGGGTGGGGGTCTGGGGGAACGTACAGGGAGCCCACGCGAGGCGCGAGTTTCCGCACCTGCATGAGTCCGGTGAGGACGCCGATGAGCCAGTGCTTGCTGTAGACCGTGCTGCCTATGCAGTCCCCCACGGCCGCCTCCTCCTCCTCCTCCTCGTCCCGACTCCGCAGCGGCGGAGAGGGATTGCGGTCCATGACTTGGCCTCCTCCGGCGCGCGAGAGCAGCTCCGGAAACCGCCGAAGGAGGAGAGAGGCCTCCAGGCGCCAAGAGGGCACGGCGCGGCTCCCGCCACAGCGCCCCCTGCTGCCCGGAGCCCTGCCAGCCCGAGCGCCCGAGCAATATGCCCATCAGACTAGGGAGCCCAGTTGTCTTGACTTACCCGACGCTCTACCCAGGACCGCAGCGCGGTTATATTCATAATTGTTATTTGTCACCCTCACTGGACCAGATATTCCATCTCTCCAAGAGCCCTTAGTCTGATTGGAAGGGACGAGGGGTGCGGGCATGGAACAGGACAATGTCTCTAGTACAGACGTGAAGCTATCGGACCTATGACCTCTGGGCACACTTGCCATTCTTAAAGACATCATTTTTCTTCCAGGTGTGGTCGGAATCCTGGAAAAGACGAAAGTCACCAGGAAGAACGTCAGTATTACAACTCCCTGTGTTTTCAGTTCCTGCTTCTATTTAGTTTGATGGCACTCAACATCAGACCCAACGCTCCACCAAACCCTACAGCAAAAATTTTAGAACACCACTTTAATGAAATGAAATTTATAGATGATATAACTTACCTCAACATGTAATTCCGATAATACCAATATGATTCCCTTACAGAAAGGAAAAATAAAATTAATTTTAAATAAAATATGTATTTTAATGTTTTAAATGCTCCGGCACAACTGTACTAGAAGATATAACAAAGATCTCCGATTTTGGCACATACACATCAAATTACTGTGAGCCCCACATTTACAAATGCAGAATGACATAGGTGTGGTTCCTCAGGGAACTTGCTTCTCAAAATCATGAACAGATGATGGTAAAATTTCTAATAAAATAAAGTTCCAATTGACACAGCAAGTGCACTTATGGAAAATTTTAAGGTATATTAAAACAGGACAAAAATACTGTGTGTTAACACATAAAATACAACTAGATCCTAGGCTCAAATAATTATAAACATTTTTTCACCATTTGTGCAGGGGCAGCCCCAGGTTTTGTGGGGCCTGAATTATGCAATTTCAGAAGCCCCTTTTAGGGGAAACAGTACAAAATTACAAATATTAAATTTGTTACAATAGGAAATATTTATTTAGAATGGGAAAAAAGAAATCACAGTAAATCACCAATTTTAAGAAACCAACAAATACCTTAAAATGAAATCCAGAAAAATATGCAACTTACTTTTATTAGTAAGTAGCCTGACACACTTCTACAATCCTTTTTCTTTTTTTGGTAGACTTTATTTTTGGAGCAGTTTTAGCCACAGCAGTATTAAGCAGAAGGTACAGAGATTTCCCTTAGAACCCTTGCCCCCATTCATACATAGCCTCTACCATTATCAACATTCCCCACCAGATACAATGTACAACATTTGATGCAATTGACAAACCTACATTGGTGCATCATTATCACCCAGAGTCCATAGTTTACATTAGGATTACTCTTGGTGTTGTACATTCTATGGCTCTGGAAATTTATAATGGCAGATATCTACCATTATAGTATCATACAGAGTAGTTAGTTTCACTGCCCTAAAAAATCCTCTGTGCTCTGCCTATTTACAACCCTTTTTTAATATACTTCTTGCTGAGGTTTCTTTGATCATTTTTTTATGTAACAGTGACCTTGTAAGAACATTTTCTGTAACAAAAAATAAGTAATTCTGTCTTTAGCATAGTTTAAATTTTTAAAAATTATAATTGGTAGTTTAGGAAATTATCGGTGGCTGAAAGTTTCTTTCAGCTTCACAACTTGTTATTGGTAATATTCTGTAAAGTTATTATTTTTTTTAGCTACCTAGTTTTTTAAATTTATTTATTTATTTATTTTTGGCTGTGTTGGGTCTTCGTTGCTGTGCATCGGCTTTCTCTAGTTGTGGCGAGTGGGGGCTACTCTTTGTTGCAGTGCGTGGGCTTCTCATTGCAGTGGTTTCTCTTGTTGCAGAGCATGGGCTCTAGGCGCGCGGGCTTCAGTAGTTCTGGCGTGTGGGCTCAGTAGTTGTGGCTCACAGGCTCCAGAGCACGGCTCAGTAGTTGTGGCACACGTGCTTAGTTGCTCCGGGGCATGTGAGATCTTCCCAGACCAGGGCTTGAACCCATGTCCCCTGCATTGGCAGGCAGATTCTTAACCACTGTACCACCAGGCAAGTCTTGTAAAGTTCTGACTGCTTGAATTTTCCTTCGATTTTCATGGTGTCAAATTTTCCTACCCTCACAGAAAGGATGGGGATATTTTCTACTGGGCAGAATTGTTTGTATAAAAAAACAATCATTTGTTTTCTTGAAGGGTTAAATTGTCTATAGAACCATCTGGGATTGTTGTTTTCTCTGGGGGAAGATTTGATCTTTTACAATAATTATAGAATAATCCAAGTTTTCATTTCTTCTTGAGTCAGTTTTTGTAAGTTGTATTTTTCTAAGAATTTGTTGATTTTTATCAAGTTTTAAGCTTTATTGCCAAAGTTGTTCATGGTATTCTTATTATCTTTTCCATGATTTGGAACAGGGAGTTATGGACTGATAATTGGTCCATATAATAGTCCATATATGGTTTATACAGTATAGTCTGTGTTCTGGACATACAGCTGGCCTGCTCTCCACATGGGGGGGTTCCACTCAGCGGATGTGGAGAGTCAACTATACTATGGCATTTTATATGAGGCACTTAGTACTTGCGGATTTTGGTATCTGCAGGCGTCCTGAAACCAATTCCCAGCAGATACCAGTGGATGACTGTGAAGTTTTACCCCAAATTATTACTATTGTTTATTAGTGCGTTATCTCCTTTTTAAAAACTATGATGTTTATTGATCATCCCCATGGTATTAAATAGGCTCATGTTCCCAAGAAGGCTGTCATATGCTGTTTCCAAATGCCAAGGGCAAATTGGATTTCACAAGCATTTGTTCAACATTTTTATGTGCTCTTTATCAATTATCAAGAACTACAGATACAGAATACAGTAACCTAGCTCAGCACTGTCTCCACTCGCTTGAGCCCTGTCTCCTGAGCAGAGTGAGAGGCAGCTCAGTACTTGTCGGGCAGGCCTGCAGGTCTGAAGTAATTGGGGTCTTTGCCGCTCCGGCCCCATTCATTGGCAAACTGGTCGGCCTTCGAGTCCTCCAGTCCGTGGCCACTGTCTCCATGCTTGAAAAGGTCTGTGACTCTCTGAAGATTCTCTCTGGCATCGCTGGAATGGAGGAGGGCAGGTAGAGGATTACTCCAGGGCTGAGGAGCAACAACCCACCCTCCCCATCTCTCCTCTTTCCAAGGAATCAWGGACTCTGACAGGAGCTAGGAAAGAGGGGATGAAGCCTGAGGCTGCCGGGGCTCAGCCCACCTCAGCCCTGCGGGTCCCSTTATGCTGGGTGAACAGCACCCATGGGGGAGGCTTGGGAATCGTCTGTCCCACCAGCCTTGCTCTGCTCTTCAGCCACTCAGACCCCACACAGGACACAGAGGGTGAGGGTGGATAAGAGGAGGAGAGGCCACAGCCCTACAGGAAGTTCTCCAGGGCTTGGCCCCTCCTGGCTGTCCGAGGCTCTCACACCCATCCCTGCATCCTCAGGGCCCCTGGTACCTGATCACTTTAGCAGCCCAGGCGCCCCCAGGTCCCCTTTGGGCAGCGTCATAGTTGCCCCGGGCGTGAAAGTACTTGTCGGAATTTTTGTAATTGGCTTCTCTCATGTCAGAGTAGGCTCTCCACATGTCTTTAGCCCCTGGCAGGAAAAGAAAGTGATGATATGAACATGATCACGTCTCAGCAAAATAGAGAAAGAAAACATTTTCCTCCCACTGAGTCCAGATTTCAGCCTTTGACTAAGCCCTTGGAGATTATTATATTGGCTTGAAATGAATATTCCTTTACTTTTCACTTCCCTGGGTTAATGTTATGAGAATCATACGCGGTGCAAGTTTTACTCTGTTTGATTCCATCCTAAGTCTGTTGGTACTTCGTTTTTGGTTGTGTGTGATGCGTGTGAAGAGGAGGTCGGATGCTCTTTAAGGGATGTTTGGTTGTACAGTGGACCTCTACCTGGAAAGATACAGGAAACCCTCTGACCAGAGGTTGAGAACAAAGGCGATTCTGAGGGAGGTTGCAGACATAGGATGCTCCCAACCTAGTCAAGGGGAGAAATCCATCCCTGTGGACAAAGTGAGGACAACTCGGTCCTGAGTACATCTGAATGTCCGGGGCATATTTGGACCTGGCCAACTGTCAAAATTCAATCAGCAGGTGATAAACGTGAGTTCCTTAAGAGAGCTTTGAAGAAACAGGGTAATCAGATGCAGGAAAAGGGCAACTGACACACCAGCTCTAAATAAAGTTCAGTGTCCTCTCCAATAAAATAGAGGAGTATTGCATCCCTCAGAGTGGCTACACAGAACTGAGGAAATACAGGTTTAACGGCTAAAACTTTGTAGGCGCTCAGTATACTATGACCTCTCTACTCCTTAGGAAGAGTGGGACAAAAAAAGAAAAAGAATGAAGATGCAGAGCAGGGAGTTATGGAAAGAAGGACTCTGATCAGCTAGAACTAAATGGCAAAGTTAAAAAAAAAACTTATCAGGACAAAGAGAAAAATCCAATGTAGAGTTATAATCAGGGTTTATATGATGACTCTATGAGAAAACTAATCTTCATATTATATATTTGTCATGTTTGGCATTTGGAAACATAGTTTTGTTGAGAGTTATGACATTCCTACTATACTTATTCCCACTGAGTTACTGATTTAAATAGATCCTTGAAGTCCAGACTTTCTTAAAAAGTATTTCCAAAATGCCTGGCATATCTTCTCACCTAAGGTCAGAAAAACCAGAGGTACTGTGCACACTTCAGTGTGCATAAAAATCAACTGGGGTGCTTAATAAAGGCCAGATTTCCAGTCTCAACCCCTGGGATTGTGATTCAAGGGAAGGGTTGTGTGTGGCCCCAGGCGCCTGCATTCCACAAAGCACCCCAGACCTCGGGTGATTCTCATGCACGTGGCCCTAGAACAGCCCTTAGAAAAACACTGACCTAAGAGATGAAAAAATATTTTTAGCTGGGTCTGTGAGAATTTAGATAGAATGGCCAGCAAACTCTTAAAACAATTATTCAGTAACTATCACAGAAAAATAATAACACAAAATAATTTTGTGAAATAAACAAATTTTTGCTACTTCACTGTGGCTAGTGAGGTACATATCTCTTGCTATCAGTTTCTGGCCAGGTCTCAGCCTCAGGAGAACCATTGTCAAGGTAATTCATTGTGCCATTTATGGTGGGGAGAGGAGCTCTATCAAGTTGCCTTCTAAAGGCACCGCATCCCCACTATTTGCCATTTGCTCAGATACAGAGCAAGACATGTGTTCACAAATCCCTCACTCTCCCACGTGTACTCTTGTCTAGGAGGCATATAATACCTCGGTTAATAGCAAGGTCTGGGGGAGCTCAATGTCTTGGGTTAAATCCCGCTCTGCTGGAGGACTTTGTTAGGTGTCTTAATTTCTTGGTGCCTCAGTTTCTCTGGTAAGGGATAATGGTACCAACATTGCAGGACTAAAGGATTAAAACCTGAGGATGACAAGGAGTTCACTCATGCATGCGAAGCTCTTAGAACAGCGCCTAGCAGGTATTAAAAGCTCAGGTACTTTAGTTATAATTATTAAGTGGATGGGGAGGGTGAACATTCCCCACCCATTTAATGCACCCACTTCATGGTACCTGAGACTTGGAAATGAGCCATCCCTAGTTGCCCACGAGGGGGCAGCAGAGCCCCACTTGTATTTAGGGAACATGCACCTTCTGAATCCAGATCTCTTCCTCACTCCTGCTGAAAGTTGGGGCCCAAATTCTATGTGACCTCGGGCTTGGGAATCCCAAGGGTGCAAAGCTGGTCAGAGAAACCTGGGGAAGTGCTACCACGGAAACCAAGCTCCTTTTTTTCCCTCTTATGGTCTTTGCCCTATGGGGATGTGACCTCTGCTCAGGTGAATCCTGGGAGCTGCAGATGCATCCTTCCCCTGACCCATCCTTTGATCCTTACCTTGACCAGCTTCCTTGAGGAATGTAGCCCATCTCTGGCTGCTGACACCCAGGATCAGGAAGCAGAAAATGATGCCCGTGGAAAGCTTCATCCTGCTGCAGGGAGATGAGCAGACACAAACAAGGATGACAGGTCTGGGTTTTTGTTCTTGTTTTCGTTTTGTAATGTGGATACACCCTTGCATTCCAAAAATAAATTCCACTGAATTTTATCTCAATATATAGCCGATAGATAGATAGCATTACAGAGGATCCAGTTCTCATTTCCGTGTGTCTCATTGGAATCCCAATGATTTCCTGTGTGAGGGATTGCAACGGGCTTTTAGTATAAACCATTTCCAGTCCAGTCATCCCCTATCAGCCCTGAAACCCAACTGCACAGCAAGTTTCCCAAAGGCATTAGGAGTTTGGGCACTATACCTCTCTGTAATATGAGATGAGGTAAACAATGCACAAGCACTTACAAATGCTTGCTCTACCTATCACTGACTTCACACAGAAGAAGCATATGGAACCCCTACCCCCCAAAGTATTCACAGCTGGTGAATTCTGATTGTCAGAATAGTAGATTCAGGAAGGAAGCAGAGGGCTGGGCTGCAGCACAAGAATGCTGGTGAAGAGAGAGAATCTCCAAAGAGGAAAAGTTTGGAAAGTTCTAGCACCTCACCGTTGGCTGTGCCTTCCTGCTGAGGCTCCTGGCAAAGCTGAGCTGCCTGTGCTGCCTGCCTGGGAGATGGAGCTGGTGCTTTATATATTGACACTTGGCTAGTGGAGCAAATGAGAAGACAGGTTTGAACCAAAAGAAAAAAAACCAAACAAACAGGAAAGAAAGAAATTTGGGAAATTCCTCTTGACAGCATTTCAAAACAGCAGCGTTATTCTTCACACACATCTAATTCTCCTGGATTGTGCAATCTGGCAGTTTTCAAGAGTGTAGCAAGTTGGGCTGCTTCTGTCTGTTTCCAGTCTCACTCCTGGTGGGGAAGGGTGTTTTTCCCCACACAATAATGTACTGACATTTGCTGTGAAGGGTAATCAATATTAGAAAAAGAGAGTTGATTGCCTAAAGAATGTGAGGATACAGGGCAAAAGGAAGAGCAGTACGGGGCCATTGCAAGGGACAGCTCAGGATGAAGCTGGGACCCCAGGGTACAGGAGTCAGAAAGGAAGGAGATAGAAGCCCAGGAAACCTGCGGGTGTAAGTCATCAGGAGGCAGAAGCGCATCGGGGGCGGGAAGGTGGTAGAACGCGCATCGAGCTCGGTTTGCCGGTCTTTAAGTGGTCGCGCCCCCTTGGAGAACGCGACCAGAAGGCAAGGCGGTCCCGGGCTCTCTAGCTTCGCGGTGATTGTAAAGTGCAGACCACTTGCCACGGAACATAGTTGAAACAGAAAATAGGAAGATGGCAGCAAACCCTTCAGGACAAGAGCATTAAAAATTAACCCCAGAGATAGCCTCATCTACCAGAGGGCAGACAGCAGAAGCAAGAAGAACTACAATCCTGCAGCCTGTGGAACAAAAACCACATTCACAGAAAGATAGACAAGATGAAAAGGCAGAGGGCTATGTACCAGATGAAGGAACAAGATAAAACCCCAGGAAAACAACTAAATGAAGTGGAGACAGGCAACCTTCCAAAAAAAGAATGCAGAATAATGATAGTGAAGATGATCCAGGCCCTCGGAAAAAGAATGGAGGCAAAGATTGAGAAGATGCAAGAAATGTTTAACAAAGACCTAGAAGAATTAAAGAACAAAGAAACAGAGATGAACAATATAATA